TTATTATTTTAAAAAAGTCTATGTCCCTGAAGTTGTGAAGTACTCTTGAGTGCTGTCTACACAAACTGCATGGGTGAGTGCTTATACTTTTGGAATTTAAACATCATTAACCTTTAGGGTCTTGAGCTAATTATTGTCCATCGGCACAATTATGTGCCGTACAAATATTTACCAATAAAGAATAATAGAAGATACTAGAGTGATACCTACTACCTAACGGTACTTGTTTGTCCACTGCCTTGTATAAATATTGATAAATCCCTGAAGCGGAGGAGCAGCACTCTGCCTCATTCTGTGATTTAGAACTTGAGACTCATCTCAGTTTACCACTGTGCAAGTAATTTTTTTCCCCATTTTTCATGTTTGGTGAACTCAGCCTGGAATCTTAGAATCAAGCCCGATTCTTTACATATATCCTCAGCAGTATCACCACCACTCAGATTCCACGCTGTCTTTGTGAGTGGGGCACTGGAATTAGCTGTGGGTTGCTGCCAGATTAAAATCACACCACGTTTGTTGGAACGCAGCTTGCTCCTTGACCTCTTGCAATGAAATAGCAGAGTACTTCCTAAAGTAGGTAAGCAGAGCACATGAGAGTGAATTATTTCTCTATAAAACAGGCTAAATGAAACCTTTTGGCAATTTACTTTCTTTTTCTGAGAAATAGAATTGTTTATTTACTAACAGGTTCTGTTTGTATACAAAGTAAGAATTCAACAGTGACAAAGATAACTTGGTTTTGGCTGAAATTTTAATGGAATAATTAGTGGCTTCAAACACAAAAAACCTCCAGCTGCTTTTAGCACAGAATGAAAGCTATTGGATTATGATTCGTTATACTGTCCATAAAAATGTTTTGCTTAATGCAAATGAATAAATTCCAGACCCATTCATGCTAACTGAATCCCCAAAGATGGTATTTTTTTCTTGACAGCTCCAAAGTGGAGAGGTACTAAGTACTTCAAGTCTACCAGAATTTGCTTTTGTTGCAAAATACACCCGTATGCTTGGATCGTGCTCGGTATTGTGTTGTTGCGATATAACAACCAGCCAGCCGCTACAAGATGAGGTGAGGAGCCCTGATCCAGTTCCTGCAGTGTGGTTAAAGTCTGGGACTGCTAGGTGTAATACTTTAAGCTAATTTGGTAGTCTGCAGCTATTAAATGCATCTTGTTACTGAACATAATGGACCAGAAGGTTTTTTTTTTTTTTAATATATTCTGCTTTGTTCTTACTTTCTGTAGATCCACTTCAAAAGCATATATTATTTTTATTAAATAGTTCTAGATTTCAATACTGTGGCACATTGTTGTCTACGAATCTGTAGACAAATCTGTTGTCTGCACTTCGGTTCAGGCAGGTGGAATACAATTTATGCTATCAGGTAATTTGTTCAGTAGTTCTGGTATCCAGCTGTATTCGGTGATCACAGAGAGGCAGCCTTTGTAGAGAATTCAGGACAAAATGGACTTTTTGTTTGTTTTCATGTACAACTTTAAGCATTTATTTCTACCTCTGAAAAATTCCAAGTGGTTGAAAGACCTGAATAAAGGCATTAGTAGATTTTTAAAGTTCATTAAATTGCAGTTCAAAGTAATTTTTGAGTTTTTGCTGCCAAACAGTGTCTCAAAGTGATGATTCCAGAATCTTTATTTTTATAACCATATCCTTTCTTATTTCACCCTTTCCCACCCTTAAGTAACATTGGCCTCTTTTCTTGTGGCTCCTTCATATGTGCCTATTAATTTGCCTTCCTTCGTGTTCAAAGGTAATGCCCTCCTGTTGTTTAATCCCTTTTGCAATCCCTCCTTTGGATTCCCTCCAAATGATCCACTTTTATTTACAGAGAGAGGTGAGCCATATGGGTCTGGAGAGGAAATTGTGCTCGTGAGATGGCAGATGTAGAGATGAGTTTCAGACACGAGAATGCAAGGGAGGAGTGGGGCCAACAAGTGCTGTATGTAAGGATTTGTCAGGCAAGCCTTGCTGTATGGAGCAGAAAGCTGGACCACCAGAGAACGGGATTTTTAATGAGCTCAGCTGTACTCAGTGCCGATGGCAGGACGTCAGGGAATGGAAACACCAGGAGGTCAGGGGACAAAGCTAGCATCGGAGATCCGCTAGCGAGATTTAAGCAGTTTGGACGTACCATGAGGATGGCAGAAATCAGAGGAATGGAAAGGTTTGGACACGTGGATAGAGAAGGAACAACCAGAAAGCAAGCCAAGGTCGCTGTGTCCAGGAGCGTGTGTGGGATTTCATCTACAGTCCTCTGATCTCATCGCACTCGCTGAGCAAAACACCGGGAAGTTCAGTGTTTCTGTGGAGCTGGGAGAGGTTTGTTCGGTAAAAATTTGCCAAATGAACTAAGGATGGACGAGGGCTTTTATGGCTGGCCTCCTTCAGACTTTTGAAATGATGATTTTTCTTGGTGTTATTTCAGAAGCTGAAATTAAAGATTTGGACTACTATGCTCCGTTTCTTCACGGCTGTTTTACCTGTAGCACCAGCACCTGGCCCTTGCAGAGGGCAATAAGCCTTGCCCAGGTGAGAGGACGGC